ACTTGACACATTTCGTAGTTGAAACTGAAGTTGCCTCGCGAAAAAAGAGGAAAAACCTATAGTGTTGCAATCAAATATTTGCGTAGGTGTCCGAACACGAGTGTCTCGCTACAGGCTTCGTGTCAATTAAAATTAAACTTTAACTAAGAAATTAATAAATATTTATGGGAGCAAGAAATAAGAGTGTGTTTAGATAAAGAAAATAGAGATAATATAGGGCTAATATAGCTTTAATAAAGACAAAGTTTAAGTTACTTAATACTTAACAAGATTTAACTATTTAAACTATTGATTTAACCTCAATTAAAGTATTAATTTCGTCTTTGCCTGTCAATTAAATTTGCTCTTAAGTTCCTCAAAGAAAATTATTATTTATAATTTAATTTTTACATATGCATTTTAATGAAATATGAAACATATAAAGAGATATGCAAGCGTATATATATTAATAAGCGTAAAGACCAACCTTAAACCAAAAGGCCACCTGAGTCAATTATTTGCAGAAAAGCGAGCATCGCCAAAAAAAATCAAGATATGTAAAGCATTGCAGATTGCGGCGTTGTAAATTCAATCCAGTATTTATTTATGTTTTTATTTGTTCATCGATTTAAAGTTACATCCATTCCATTCGTGTCCGTAGATATTTCCATTTACAAAAATTTGTCACAGCATCGCGTTGTTTTTGTTTTAATTTTTAATTTGTTTGGTATTTAATTAAAGTAAAAAAATAAAGACAGCGCGCCAGCGGCAACACCGGAATTAATGAAAGCAAAACATATTTAATTAATAACGAGAAAATCGTGTTTACAGGCCAACGGTGTGTTGTGTGTGTGTTGATGATGATGATGTTGTTTTGTCTCTCTTATGGTAGTTGTTGTTGTTGTTGCTGTCATGCCGCATAACAATGTTCTTGGTTTATGCATGTAAATGTACTTGATATATATATATTTATATATATGTTTAGCCTATATATTTTGTACACATCACGCATACGCCATGTAAGCCCCAGCGAGCAAGGCAAATGTCATAAAACTCTTTTATTTTTATTTTTATGAATTTCATTTAATTTAAGTTTATTTTTTCGGCACACTTTATGATGACTGCATGTTGTGGTTGAATAAAAACATGAACACAATTTGCATACAGCACAAAAAGGGGGAAATGCTCGAATATTTATTTGCAGTACATGGAATGATAGTACTATATGTTATATAGTATATGATGTGATAACAAGAGATGAGAAAGGCAGCTAATTTGTGACAAGGCAAAGTTGAAATACACTTTCCATGCTTAGAATATTCAAAAACAGCACCTATAGTTGGCTTAACATCACTGGATTTTCATTCTTTCCCTTGACATATAATCAACATATCAAACAACACATTTTTCAGTTAGTAAAATCTAAGAAAACCCCTTTAAAAGCCTGCCTTAAACACATAGTCAACTCATACATTGTTCCCTATGCCATCAAATGGTTATAAAACTTTACCACTTCATTGTGCAGGGACTCCTCCAAGCTCCACTCCCTTCTCCTAGTACAAAATTCAATCTCAGCCGGGGCCTAACCAATCCGAGGAGCGACATGGAGTGCTCCTACTATCGGCAGCATCTTTATGGCTGTGAACAATGGGGCTCAGGATGAAGCAGGAAGCTCCAGAGCTCTTCCTAGCTTCGAAAGGGACGAAATTATCCACAAAAGTATGTGACATTCTGGGGAGGGAACTGGGGAAAGTTAAGTTCTCACCCGAATTAACGGCTCAATGGAGGATGAGGACTGGGACACTGAGATGGAGATAGAAACCCGCGCAGATGGGTCCTGGAACTAGGTCTCCGGGCCACTTGAGTCGACGGAAAGTCGCTGAAATGATGTCGTGCGTGCGCAAACTATGCGGCGTCATTAAATCTAACGAGCGCCCGGAGATTTTGTTAAGAGAGAAAGGGGGGATGACTCCTACTACAACTACTTCTACTACCAGGACTTTGATTCTAACTTTGACTCTGTGAATACAAGTGGATTTGTGCCATGTAAAATGTCTAAATTTTCGACAATTTCCTAGCAAACTTTTGACTGTTGTGTAGTTATTTCAAACCCCAGGCAAGGAGACGCTTACACATTAACTTGGCTTAATTAAGCCAGGCATTTGGCCATTAACTAGGTCTTACTGTCGCTTCCCTCTTTTTCCCCCAGTTTTAGTTGAAGATTTATTCTGTTTATTTTGTGCCAGAAATTACATCTTCAATTGATTCTAGTTGCGGGGGTCATAAATAAAGGGATTTCAAGGGTCTTCTCTCCTCCTCGCTGCTGCTGACCACACACACATTTCCCTTCCATTTGGCTAAAAGCAATTTCTCCATTCCCTTTTAGCCCACTGGCATCAAGGGGTTATCCTGTCTGTCTGCCAGACTGTCTCTCTCTCTGTCTATTTGGCTATCTCTTGCTGGAAAGTTAAGAGTTAAGAGCATTCGATTAGAAATCCCTTTTGAATTTCGCCTTAGTCGCTGCTGATTTATGGTGGAAATTCCCCTGCACTTTATCCAAGTGCGTTTGCAGTTTTACTTACTGCCAAGTTCTGTGCAGGAAACTAAAGCGAACAAAGTTGACTTTAAGTAAGGAATAAACTTTGTAGAGTTTCTTGCATAAGTAATAGCTCAATAATCTGGTAAGGAATGGTGTTTCAGGTATTTCTCACAGCCAATAAAGCTTAAATATTAAAGTATTTGATACTTATACATCATTATTTGATCTCTTCTATATCAAAAACTCTTAAAAATAAACCTCAAATATCCATTACAGGTTGTTTTCTTAATCATAATTCCATTATAAGTGTAGAAATCCAAATGCGGCTAAGCTTTCCATTCTGGTTTCTTATCTCCACAAGCCAAAGTTATTGACTGAACTGAACTTGAGGCCAGAGACAAAGTAAGAAACCGGCAGGTAACGCCCACCCAGAAATCCAATAAGACGCGAATACTGATCAGAAAAAGCTTCAATTTCGATTTGATTAGCAGGCGGAAGTCGAGATGCCAAAGACCCACACACACACACTACGCAAATGCAAATTGGAGCAGTGTTAGATTGACGGCATGACTGACTGACAGTTTGAATGATGGATGGATGGTTGAAGCTCAGTATGACCCACAATGCTCTCAAAAAGTGAATTCCGCAAGAGTCTAATAATAAATTTATAAGGCCTGACGCCACTGTCAGGTGTCCCGATAAAGGCGACCGACGACCGATAAAATGTCAACTTATTGCCACCTCACACTCACGTTTGTCTTTGGTCTTTAGGATTTACTCAACAATTCTTCAGTTATCAAAGGCCTCGCAAAAAAGGTAAAAGAATAATAAAGAATCAAGAGTTAGGGCCTGCAAATATTTACGCTATCGTTTTCTTTATGACAGACCCATATATAGGGTTCTATGTTTGCTTGCCGATAAGATATGCGGTCAATACGCTGATTGATATACAACTGTGGAAGCAGGAAATGTGCCAACAAACTGATATGCTTTCCACTTGAGAAAATCCAGAACCCAGAACGAGCTGGAAAACTTGGCTAATTTATGAGGGATCAATAACCGTTGTATAAAGTATGGAATAATTATGAGACCAGGCTTCCTTGAGGTTCGACTTTTATATTTAGAAATTTTACATAGAGAAAGAGATAATTGCTTTGATTAAAATATAAATTAAAGTACATAAAGGGGAGAAGGCAGTCTTTATGTTTCGAGGTTACATTACTTTACACAACATAATAACTCGAATCAAAAGGTAGAGTATTTCTATCATATCAACCGACACCTGGTTCCCACACACTTCAACCAAAATGTACAACATAATTTACTAAGCTCCAAATAAAACCCACAACAAGCCACGCCCCTCAGCAGATACTAACAAGTATAAAACACCGCCCCAAAAAAACGCACCAAAATCCAATTCCCGTCACTTGCCGGCATTATATGACCTGAAACTGAACTGACATCGAATCGGAAATCGGTATTGACCAAATCGAAAACGGAACCAGCCGGCGGCATGCAGCAATTAGCCGGAGGTCATTGTGTTGCCCGGGTCAGGACAGGTCAGCCTCCTCCAAATCGATTGCAGTTCGGTTTCAGTTTCGGCATCGCGTTCAGTTTCCGTTTGCAATTCTGCGGTTTCAATATTGAAAGTGGGCGCGGCATGAAGCGGCAACCCCCGCATTGGACAATTGACAATGTGTGTTTCGACAGCAATTTGTTCAGCAAGCAAAATTGTTATTAAATGTACACAATTGATTGGCCATTTGTTTGGCATTCATTAGCACAAGTAATCAAAGCAAAGTATGGGAAATTATGAGGGTATTACATAGGTAAAATCATGAACTCGCAGGAATGAAAGCAACTTCTTTGCTTCTAACCAATTCTATATCTCTTCTTTGACTATTAGATTTAAATATATATACTTTTATATGGCTTTATTATGGTAAACGAAACCGATAACCATCTTTTTTGAACCTTCCTTCTTGGCCAAGTTCTTTTTTTTGTATTCCTGCCTTGACAGACGACTGCCATTCAATTGTCAAATATCTTTTGGATATTTGCAGCGTCACGATTTCCGTCCAACCGAAGGCTCACGACTTCCCCCAGTTGCAGAAAATTGCATTGAACTTCAAAAATTGAAACTTCACGAGGGCGCTTTTGGCCGTTCAACCATTCGAGGGCAGGGGCGTGGCCCAGTCGGCCTCGGCTTCAATGTTCAATAATGCTGGAAGGGCACGTGGCAGCTGGATAAAAATTCAATCAACAGAAAAAAACAACAGCAACAACGGGTGAAAAATTGCATTGCAATTCCAAAGTAATTGGTTTTCTGTGTCGGCTTTTCCCCAAAAAACAAAAAACTATAAGAAAAAAAAGTAGGTTTAGTTTAATTGAAATTGTTGCCATTGATAAATTGATTTATTTACCAATACTCTTTAGTTAAATTTGAGATATTTATTTACTTTTAATTAAATCGATGTAAAAAGTAAACAAATATCAACTGGTCTTTGCTTTCGAGGTCACAAAATCCAAATTAATATTGAAATTATGTAATAAACGGATACACTTTCTTTTTGTTGAAGCCATGATTTTCAAGAAATGTTGCTTTTTAATACCGCTAAACTACGGATGTTACATCATCGGTGCCCTGTTCCTGAGCTTCCACGTTGGCGAACTGATAACGCATACGAGCGACACGATCTTCATAAAGAACGTCTCCCAAAAGACCTGGGGGCCGTGGTCATGGCACCGATCCTGATGGCGGGTACCTTGGTGTCCGTAATGCTGATCTATGGCGCCGCCAAGGTGAGGTATGCCCGTAATGTCCTAATCAATTCAATCGACTCATTGCCCCTTTTCTACTTTTCCTCTTTGCACATTTCGACTGCAGCGGAAGCGAGGATTTGTCCTGCTCTGGGTAATAGTAAATGTAATCACACTCCTGCTGTATATCGCCCTGTATATAGTCTCCTTCATCAAGTCCTCGCCGCAGCCGATAATAATTGCCGTCCAGTCGGCTATCATACGTATGTTATCCCACTGAAATACCCTATCCCTTCCTAATTCTCTGTCCAACAGTTGGTCTGATATACTCAATATTGGTAGTGCATTCATTTTACGGGTACCTGTCGACGGTGGAGCACGAGGACGTCATCTGAGGTCACTGTCATACCATGCCATATGTAACTGTATAGTTTCATAGTTTTCAAATTAAATTATGCCCAGTGACTTCGTAATTCTTCAAATAAATATATGATCTTTTAACCAGATCGATCTAGTATTCTGATTTTACGTTGTCAACAACCAGGAACGGGGCTGATTCTCTCTAACCAAAATCGTAACTGGATGAAGAAACACTACGCATCCAAACGTACATTGAAATTGTATCAACCGAATATATATCAACAAGAATTGTGTAACTTTTGGGTCGCCTAAGAGAAGAAGATTGACCTATCGCCATGGCCTGCCACTGTTGGTATCTCAGACAAATCGTCACCAGATGCTGCCTGTGCTACAAGCTACGCTTTGGGGTTTTACTAATCGGATGCATCTTTCTAACCTGGTTCCTCTATCTGACCTTTGGCACCGGCTTCATGATGGAATGCATCTTCCCCAATGAGTACCAGAAGGCCAATAATCCAGCACCGGCAGCCCTTAAAACCACCATGGTGTTTTCCTTCTTCGGGATCGTAGCAGCTGCCATGCTCTGCATTGGAGTACATAATGTGAGTTTTATATATCTATTATGATCTACTATTTTATTATAATATTAATTCACCTCTTTTTCGTAGAACAACGAAATGTTATTCCTGCCCTTTTTGGTCTTTGCGCCCATTTGGATAATTGTTCATATTCTGGTATTGATTGTATACTCCTTTAAATTGGTAATAATCCTACTAACGGTCCTGACCATATGTGAGTTTTTAACCTATATTATCCAATATATTAATAGTCTCATGATGTATCCTTATAGTACTTTTAATCTACGCCTGGATAGTGGTATGGTCGTACTACGTTGAACTGCTCTTTGCCTACGAATGTGAACTCGAGCCTGGATATGCATTTTCTTGAATTTTACAAAATTAACATGTAAATTCGGCATAAGCATTCATGAGTTTATTAAAATGTTTTAAAAACTAGCTCAGTTATTCCATAGAGTGGAAACTAGCTATTCTCATCTGATATTCTTAATTGAAAAGTCCCTAATTGTATATTTTCCGTTTAGTAAGTTTCTGGCACATGCTTGGCATGCTCTTTTCGAGCTGCTCTATATAGTATAGTATAATGCACTTAAGAGAGAGACAATGATAATCACATCCGCAGAATGTAATGTAATGTAATGATTTTAATGACAGTGACCGACATATGTACATACCTTCGGCAGCGAGGCAAGCACCTGCTGCTTGACATCCCAGACGAGACGCTCCGATGGGAACTGCAGGCACTTGTAGACATTCAGCTCCGGCACATGGATCCGCACCAGCAGCCATCCGTCCCGGGGCTCCGGTGGCGGCTCATCGTCAAACGCACCCGGCCCGGACATGGCGTCCGTATTGGCCGGGTTCTGTTTGACCTTGGGCGTTGGTGGGTGGTACGTCGTAATTTTGGCGGCTTTCTTTCACCCACAAAAAAGGAAAAAAGGAACGAGCGAGGCTCCTTTTTTAATGTTCCTTCTCAAAGTTTGTGTGTTCCTTTAGGGAACTTATTTTCTAAAATTTATTATTTGCTTATTCACTTTGTTGTTGTTTTTCTTATTTTTTATTGGCAATTTATTTGATGGGTCGACTGGCTTGAGCCTTCTGATATCCGTTTGGCTTGGACATTTCGCTGAGGATTTTTCGTTGAGTCAGTCGCATGATGATTCTACAAAAATAAATAAATAGAGATTACGATTAGTAGGGAAATACATAAATATATACCATACATCTCATATATTATATTTATTTATCACAACTTGATTTAATGACAAAAAGTTTACCATAAAATATGATAATGGCAACTGAAAGATGCTTCCGGTATGCCATTAAAAAATAAGTTTTATGGAATTGTTAATGCTCCAGAGCCAATTAAGTCATAAATTTGCACTCTTCCTTTGCATTTGCATGGGAAAATTATTCACACACATGTGCATAATGGACCAAATAAACTCGTTTCTACACAAAGCACTTAGCGTTGGAAAACTTAATTTGCAAATTGGTTAAAAAAAAAAAGAAAAACCTCAACTCTAGTCAGTCAATTGGCCACCATGTCTACACATGTCGGAAAACTGAAAACTAAAGACTAGGAGACGTGGAAAACTGCAAGAGACCCTCGTAAAATTCGTCAAAGTGAAAAGAAAACACACAAAAGCCGCAGCAAAACATTCCATCGTCGTTGATTACTGTTTGATATTGACATTTTATGGCTGCACCACATTTGAATTGCAGTTGCAACTGCAATTATGCACAAATTAAATTCACACGAAGGAAATGGGGGCTGTTTGTGTGCGGCCGGAAAATGTGTGCCAAAGCGACCCGCTGACAGTTGTCGCTTTTTGCCATAAGGTGAGGGGGGAGGTGGGGGAAAAGCGGCATGGAACGGCTGTGGGCGGAACGGGTTAAACACCAACAAGCAACACTGCAAGTCTGCACTTTGTCGCATTTAATTGCGAGCGTGTTGATTGCATTCAACTAGTTAGTGCTGGCAAACCTGTGGTGGGAGAGGGGGAAAAACCAGTGGAAAATGGTAACGCTTGCCGGAGAAAGATAAATCCTAATTGAGGACAAAAGTTGCGGGTGCCGGCAATGAAAGATGAAAAGGTTGCGCCAAATGAAAAGCCATTACCAAGACAAGGGTTTGTCCCAGATAAGGGAAAGAAAGAAGAAAAAGAATCATGTTAACCTAAAAATTTTAGCTAAAAATGAAATTATATTGAAATGTTATTCTCAGAAACTCAAAATGTAAGTCTGATTTATACATATCATTCATCAGTTAAAATAGATTAGGTCTTTTGATTATTTGTTATCACTTTTTTTTGATATGCTTAAACCTAAATAACCTTATCTTGAATATTAACTTGCAATTATTGCTGACTTATTAATAATTCTCTCTTTCTCTCTGTTAATTTTCTCTTTCCGATAATGTTGCTTTTCATAAATTATAATTTAATCTCTTCACGTATGATTTATTTATATGTTATTTATAGAGTATTACCTCCTCTCTCTTTGTGATACAAAATAGGCTTCTGATACAGCTTGTAAACAATTTGTTTAAACAATAAACTCTGTCATAAATTCAGACTTATCGCTGGCTTTTCTTTGACAATTTTTCGCCTGGTTCAGTGCCCCCATTTTCACGGTGAACAAACAAACAAACAAAAGTAATATATGTCACGGTCAGAAAACTTCACCGGAATACATAAATTAAGCACATCAATAAAAGTAAATACGAGAAATGAAGATTGCGTTTAAACAAGTGAAACACTCAATATACATAGACAAAAGGCCCGTTTTTTACCTTGGCCAGCCACTTGGCTGTCAATCAAACCAACGAATCTCTTCGGAGCTGTTCAAGTGAAATTATCAAAACGCAAGTCGAGTGTCGTCGCCAGACTTCTGTTTGGTGATAAGCGAACCGGGGCCAAGGCTTTGGGCATTAATGGCAATGTGATAGTGGCCAAAATAAAGGCCCAAATAAAGGCTGATAAGGCGAGAGAGAGAGAGAGAGTGGCTTTTGGCGCCTCAAGTGGTAAAACGATTCCCTTATAATTACGTATACGCCACGTGGTCGTTCAGCAAAGTCATTCAACTTGAGTTTTTAGGGGAAATGAAAAAAAACGGGGCAAGCGGGCAGGTAATATCCATTCAATGTGCTTTTTATTAGCCGGATTGAACTTAGCCAGGGAGTCATTGGTTTTAATTGAAAATTTTCATGGATCGAGTTCCGGAGGCACAAAGTTTATTTCGCCTTTTTAATTGGAAAAGTTTTGCGCATAATGGGGCTTTGAAATACTGTTCAGTGGCATATGGAAGGCCTGATTTACTGATTCCACTGAATTACGGGGCTGGTCAGTAAAAGTCGGAATCCAATTCCCACCGATTTGCAGCGATTTTTCACTTGAGCTAATAGGAAAATTGTGCTCGACCTTTTGCGAGGGGGAAGCCAACTGTCGGGGCAAATGAATCAAAATTTATGTTTTCGCTTTTATTTTATGTATATGTTCATAGCATATGTTCTTTTTTTTGCAGAGCGCCTTTTTTTTATTTTCTTTCTTTTCCAAACAGACAGCTGTCTTGCGGCTGTCAAAGTTACAAGTTTTGGGGCTCCCCTCTGCCGATCGCCATTATCCACCCTCGTTACTCTATATACTATATATATATACACATATATATTCCTGTTGTGTTTTTTGGGGATGTCTGTCTGGCCTGTCTGCTGTCTGTCGCTTCTATTGTCTTAGCCCTGACAGCTATTTGGCTCAAACACTCTGGATATAGCCCGTCTAATGCCAACTTAGTTGCTGGAGTCTCTGAGGAAGCATTTATTGCATAAGGTGTAGTCCGGTGTGTGTGTTATCTTGAGTATGTTTTGGGGTAGAACACATTTTTATGGTTTCCTTTTTATAAGGGAATCGATTGTTGACAGCCACGAACAAATTATTGGGTTGGGAAAACATTAATTGGCTAGGCATCAAGGGTCACATAACAGATAGCGATAAATATAAAAGATAGATAGGTGTAAAAGTTGGTTTTTATTAGCAAAAAACTTCGAAAAAATTAAATTTTTGTCGGATATAGATAGATTGATTCGCCTTTTAAAGCTAATCAAGAATATATATGATTTATAGGGTCGGAAATGACTGCCACAGAAAGAGTTGTTAAATTAATAGGATCAGAAAGTATCTTACAACAGAAAGTAACTATGATCACAAATTAACAATTAGTTAACTATTAATTAAGTATGAGCAGAAAGTAATTTCGAATATTAAGTATCTATGACCGGTAAGTAACTCCGAACAGTAAGTATCTATGAGCAGGAAGTAACTATGATCAGTAAGTATCTATACCAGTTACTAACTTTGAACACTTATAAACAATGACTTGCAACTTTTGTAACACAACACATTTCTGATGCTTGGCTGGCAGCAGTCACTTCGTTCTGGGGATGTTCACTAGTGCGAAGTTTGTTTTGGAACAAAGAGCAAGCTATTTGAATGAAACTATGGAGTCATTCTTCTATATAATTTAACTAGTGTATAAGTCGGACCATGGCGAATCGGTGGACTATATATATACATATATATAGCTGCCATAGGAACGATCGGACGATTTATAGAACTATGATCAGTAATTAGCTATGAGCAGTAATTAACTCTGAACAGTGAGTATCTATGACCAGTAAGTAACTCCGAACTGTAAGTATCTATGACCAGGAAGTAACTATGATCAGTAAGTACCTATATACAGTAATTATGCATGATCAGTTACTAACTTTGAACACTTATAAACAATGACTTGCAACTTTTGTAACACAACACTCTTCTGATACTTGGCCGGCAGCAGTCACTTCGTTCCGGGGAAGTTTGAACCAGTTGGGAATCATATGCACAGAGAGATTTGTATTGGAACAAATCTAAGAGCAAGCTATTTGAATAACACTATGGAGTTATTCTTCTGTATAATTTTACTAATATATAAGTCAGTGCAATGCGAATCGGCGGACTATATATATACATACATATATGGCTGCCATAGGAACAATCGGAAAATTTTAAGAAAAAAATTATAACTTTTATAGTTTTCTACAGACTTACATCAAATTTGATATATAGCCATTATGTATTTATCTAGAATTTTTGGTAAGATTTTATGAAAATCGGACTACTATATCGAATTAATCTGCAAGGGTATACTAACATCGAGGTGCCAAAGTTAGCTTCTTTTCTTGTTTATTTTGATTTATTTATTATTATTAGTGTAATTATGGAATAATTTAGCAAAAATGAGTGCCCAATATTTTAGACGTAATGAAAATTCCTTTTCATCTTTATCACTCTCGCTATTTGGAATTTGGGCACATGACAAATTTTCCTTGCCATATTTCGGTATCTTGTTTTTATTATTTCGAACCTGCCCCACTTGAGCCAGTTTGAGTGCTGTCTCCTTCACTTGTTAGCTCACTCTATGGCCGTCTCCCTCCGTCTCTGGTCTCTTGAAACACCCTGCACCGTGCACCTCCTTGAACTAAGTGCTTGTGACACTTGCCTCTCCAAGGCTTTATGACAGGCGATGAAATTTTATTTGGGCAAAAGTGTGACAAACTGAAAATGACAAAGTGCTCCGCTTCGAACCAGCTGCTTTTGGCCCGGACTTTAAGCCCGAAAGAGAAGGGGTCAGAGCCGGGCTAAAAGGTTAAAGTTTAAGCAGTGGTACAGGCGGGGGGAATAGTAATGTAAATTAAGTTTTAAATATGCCACATCGAATGGGCTTAAGTCGGAATTAGTTACGGCATCGGATGGATCCCTGGAGAGAACGGGCGACTTTACTGGGTCAGTGGAGAGCTCCATTGGGTTTGCTCGAATGCGCAACTAAATGCGACTGGAGTTGCATGTGGCACACACCAATAATAATAAGTGCACTTAAAGAAATGGTGGGAATAACGTTCAAAGCAATTGGATTTTATACTCAGTGACTTTGCTTTCATTGTTTACTTGGTCACACTGCTTTATTATTTAGAGAAATGGGTCACACTGCACTTTACTTGTATAGAACTATAATTTTGCAAAACTAACTTCATATAACTATCACCTTTTTTGCTCTCTGCACAAATATCCGAGAATGGAGAAACATCATCGCTTATGCATAATGGCCCATGCATATTTAAATTGCCTTCGCTGGATGCTGCAGTTGGTGCTGCTTTAAAAGCAAATTACTTTTGTCATTGCAATGGCTTGCCGCTCAATCTTGTGGAGGATTCAGGAGATGGGCTAATTTAGGGAGGATGCCAGAGGAAGGTCCTTCTATAGCCACTTATTGTGGCACACACTCTGTTGTAGATGCTGCAAATAATTTGCCTTGGCAACGGCAACGGCAGCAGAAGCAGCAGCCACTGAATGTAAAATGTAAAATGCAAAATGCAAAATGCAAGCCCCAATCCGCCCACACAAAACTTAATAATGGCAAACTATTATTCTTCCACCACCCAGCAATGGGCACACAGTGGTGGAAATACGACAAAGGGAGCTCAACTACAAAGGTTGAAATGATTTTTTATCTGTAATAAAATCAGGGTTTGAAAATTATAAAGTTAAGATTTGGAAAAGGCACAAACTTTTTCTATTTTAATATTATTTTTTTAATATATAACTCAGTTTTCCATATGTTTTCCGTATAATACTTCATTCCACTGTGTTACCCCGCTAAATCGAAGACGCCATTTTCCTTGTTGACGACTCTCGGTGCATTGTTGCGTGTGCCGGAAACGGAAATGCGCACATAATTCTGTTAGAAAACATGCAACAAAATGGCGCCCAGACCGCAGGCAAGGAAGATGACCGAGCAGACAGTTGAGGAGAAAACTTTAATTAAATAATACTAAATGCAATTTCGCATGGCTCTCCTGCTGAGGCAGCACAAAAACATGTCACAGAGGCATGGCTTATGGCTGAGAGAGCATCTCCTGGCTAATTTATTTTCCTATTTTCTGTTTATTCGAACACCAGAGAATCCGCAGAGGAAGCAGAATCAACCGAAACGAAACGAAACGAAACGGGGCGAGAGAAAAGCGAAACAAGACAAGAAACTTTAACCCCGAAACTTGTTTTCCAGTCACGTTCATTTTCAATCAAGTGGCATCATTATGCTGGCCAAACAAACTCGGGCTTGAGTTGAGGCTGAAGTTGAAATAAAAATCGGGAAAGAGGAGGCCAGGAAGAGCCACCACAATTGGCTAATACAATGGCTAAATTAGCTTGGACTCAAGAGGAGTGTGTGTGTTGCCCTTAACCCTTTGCTGCCTGTCTGTCTGTCAAGTCAGTCAAGTCCAGCAATCAGTCCTTTGTCTAGGCCCACAAGCCGGCAACAAATTACCTTTCGAACCACCCGAAAAACCACAGAACCCACTTACCTGGGTGGCCATTGAGCAGCCCAGCTAGCGACTTCCTGTTCGTCAAGAGAGAGAAACAGAAGTTGAATCCGAATCACATAAATCTTCTGGGAAATCGCACAAAGGAAGGTCAAAACAGAAACCAAAATCGAAATGGTCCAAATGAAGCATTGACATTTTTGGCATTTATTTGATGAAAAATAGTTTGTGGGTTTTCTCTCCCCTCAAATAAATCTCTCTTGAGCTTAGAAAATCAATTCTAGAAACCAATTTAATTGACATGCAATTTAGCAGGTGTTCGGTTACATCTACCCACTGACTTAATTCAGTTCAGCGTTTCTTTTTAACAAATTGTACAGCCAATAAACCAAACTTTAAGTTCAATTAATTAAACAAATAACACATTTCACAAGTCCTGTGACGCAGCAGCCTTTTTGCTAATTTCAGCAGCTCTCGCATTACGTCACAGAGCCATTAAGTCAAAAGTTGTATTTTTGCAATCAATGAATATAAATTAAAGTCTAGAGAGGAGAGGGAGGAAGGGAAACAGAGACAGACAGACACACACCGATTAAAGAGAAAAACAGAACAAAACTTTATGCAAATGCTTCGAGCTTACCGCAAAACCAATCTAACCAGTTTCCGAATGCAGTGCAAAAATCTCAGAAAACCAAAACAACAAATGACAACCGACAACCGCGACAAGTATACAGATGGACAACACATGAAAACACACACAGCCATAACAGCCACAAGATATCCAAGATATATCTCTGTATAGAAACATTAAATGTGAGAAAATTATGGGTTTCGTATTTAGAAGTGAGTAACACAAGTCTCGTATAAGTAAAAAGGCACAACTTACCCCTAAACTTTCCGCTGTCTTTGTGGCTTAGAACTCTGTGAAGCTCAAACTGTAGGGAACAGACATGAGGTGGCTGAAATGGAGAGAAAATATGATTTAATTAGTTAATAATTTCCATTTTGATAATTAAATTATTATTTTCAAAGTTATATCTGCAAGAAAATGATTCATTTTGATGTATTTGAAGAGTAATATAAGGTCTACAGGAGATTAAAACATATTTAAACAAAGATCTATTATATTTATCATCATAAAGGATATGAATTTCAATCATTTTAAAGTAAATTTGCAATTTAAATATTAGTAACAAGGTTTATATTATTTCATACACTATTAATTGCCATTTCAAGCATTCCACAACTAAAGATAGAAGTCTTGTTCTTGTCTTTAATTACATTTAGATTACATTTTAATTAACACCAGCAATTTAATCATCTTTTTCACAGCGCATGTTCAGGACTCAAGCATTTTCTTTGCCTTCTCTCTTCTTGATTAATTTCTATTTAACGTGCAAATATTTTTTCTGTCAATTTCACCAATAAATGCAATTTATATCTTGAGCCAACAGCAGCAGCGGTGCTGGCAGGGCTAATTTCATATTTCACGTCAGCCAAGGAAAACTCCTTTGCCTTTGCCATTTTCTGCTCCTTCGTGCCCGCAGGGCCATCAATCATACGCCATGTAAGCAGCAGACGCACACAATCGAATCAATATCTGAGTGCAACAAGGAGGGGAAGGTGTTGCAGGAAGGTAGGTAGGTGGGTGGTTGAGTGAGTGTGAGTGCAACGCCCACACCCTTTGCCAGAAAGCATAAAAATTGCATTTGCCACAAATCGAAGCATGGCTAGTGGGTAAAAATTAAGCAAAAGTCAGACCGGGGAAACTTAGAATATTTATTAGGCAGTTTGTCAAAGCACTGAAAGCGATATGAATCAACAAGAGGGGAAAATGTACAGAGTGCTATAACCATAACAAATTCCCCTTAATTCCATTGGAAACGCCGGCCACAGAGCCATAAATAAACAACAGCAATATAAAGTCAACTTTGGCTTATATAAGTTGTGTAAACAAACTGATTTCCAAGAATATTCAAGTGGCTATTGAAAGAGTATCTGCAAAACTGGTTGCCTGTCTGTAATAATCAAACAACTTTATTAAAAAAAAGAGATCTCACTTTGGTTTAGCGGGTTACCCGACCTCCCCCTCTGATAACTTTATTTTTTCCAGCCATTTGAATTTATTGACACATTTCATTTGGCCAGAATTGCAGGCGGCGGCAGAATGAGGTTTCTGCCAAGTAATTAAGCCCGCTGACGAGCCCAAAAATGTCTCGAAACGATTTTGTAACCGCTTGCCTTTCATGGAGAGCTCGAACTCGACTCGACTCGACTTAACTTGGCTGACTGGCCACCAGACACCATAACTGGTCGGAGCAAATGATTTTTAATAACTTTGACACTCATTAAACTCAAATTACATGCATTTGATTACGCAGCCACATGGGAGTTGGTAGTAGTAGCCTTTGCATCTGGGGTTTTACCAAAATCCAAAGCCTCTTAAATTTCATCATCATGACAGTAGGCTTATGTTGAAGATGATCAAAGGGGTAGTAGCCTTATAAATGACTTTTAAACTTGTGGAAAATTACTGAAAGTTAAAGTTGTAGGTAAACAAACATAAAAGACCAAACTGCATAGCCCAATAAAACCGCTCAGTGGTAACCAGAATTAAACGGTTAATCAAAAACCTTAAATTAAATTAATTAAATAGCCAAAGAAGCCCCATCAAATCTCGAGTTTAATTAGCCATTAATTAGCTTAGAAGAGCCAGAGCTCATTGAACCGTTTACATAAAGAATTCAATCCCATTAAAAAACTCATTAAATCAAAAGCAAAAATTCTCACAGAGAAGGGAGAGAGATTTGATAGATTAAGACGTCTTGGCCTGCAAATTAATTACTCACTTTGTCTTTGGACTCTGACAGGTAATTCCCGGGCCCTTGGAGTAACCATGAACTTGACATCTATGAACTGTCGCCCTGCCATTTTTTTGCTTTTTACCTCTCTCTCCACCTCAGCCCTCTTAGCTGTCATGTGTTAACTTCTTTTTAATTGCCACCGGTCTTGGCCAAGTCTCGTTCTGAGCTAAACAATCGTTAAGAGCTCTGCCTTTTTTACGACTCGCGAACTCTGCACTTGGAACGTGCTGGACAGGTAAATGCATTTGCAGCTCAACACAGTCTTCACTGTACTCTGTTTTATTTCTTCGACTGCTTTTTTGTTTTGTATTCAGCATGAAGCCCTGCAAGAAAATCACTTTGCTTTGTGCCTTTTTTTTAACCGGGCTCACACCAAACTCCGTCATGTTCGGGGGCTTCCAAAGAGTGGCCAAGATCTGTGAAATGGCACGAACTTGCTTTATGGAAAGTGCCCGGCGACAGAAGCTTCATACAAGCTAAGAGTGCTAATGGAAATTCCGGAATGCGGCTGCATAATTCTTTGGTTTTTATTTACCAGAGACACTCTGCTCTATACACGAGAACACTTTTCGAAATGTGTTGGCAAAAAGAGTTTTAGTCACAAAAAGCATAGAATTGCGATTAGCAAGAAGCGCAAAACAGATTTATGGCATTATCTGGCAAACACTTTATTAAAAGATAAGCAAGAATGCAATTTTTTTTAATGATGAGTCACGAATAAGAAAAAAATGAACACAAAATTTGTTCGGTATTCGTTATGTAGAGGTCAGAGCCAGTTGGGAATTATAGAGTTTCAGTGGGGAAAAATGTATTTATTATTTGTATTTCTGCCAAGGTTTAAAGAGAGAAAATTAAATGTGCATTGTCTAGTATCTAGTATGAGAAATGTTTTGAAATAGAGGAAATAAAACTATTACTTGAATTTTAGACTCTGTAGATGGTAGAACCACTTAAGAATTGTATCGTTTTTGTAGTAAAAATAGGGAATTGAGGATCCTCTCTTACTTGCTCCAAAATCACCATTCTCGAGTCATTTGAAATTCCCACAAAAATTACAAACAAATAAAAGAAGATTTCAAAAATTACCCACGATTATGGGAATTCACTCTTTAGCCCCCGAAAAAAGATATGGCCTACACGAAGAAGAGCCATCCAATTAAGCCAAATCGACACTTGCCACAGGAGACAGAGACAGACAAAGCAAAAATAATACTGCCAAGAAACAAAAGGAGGGAAAAGGCGAAGAAAAGACGACACCGTTAACGGAATGACATGCAAAGTGCAGCTGCTTTTCGTGTTTTGGGAAAACTCAAGGGGAAATTCGCAAGGGGCGAAGGACGGGGGGGATACACTGCACACATATGGGTGACACGAACAAAGAGCGCGGAGGAAAAGCAAGCAGAAGAGATTGATTCTCGCCGCGTCACGTGGGAAATTTTCAAGTTCAAAGCAATTTTCCAAGGAAGCAAAAGCGACACAAGAGGAGGCAACTGTAAAAGCGCAATACGAGTGCACTACCCGATGGCAAGAGGTTGAAATAAAAATAAAACTAAGCACAGCAAAACACAAAGCGTGCACTCACGTGAGACTTGATAATAATCGGATTTGGGAAATCGTGAAACGAAAAAAGAGGGAAAACAGCGGGCCACCAGGAAAATATTTGCCGTACTAAAAATAACAAATACACAGCGGTGGCTCAGCCACTTGTATCGATTACAGAGAGAAGCAGAAACATAAAAAAACAAAACAGGTTGAGGGTTCTCCGTCTCTCTGGGGAAATGCCAGCTATCCATCCAGGTATCCATCCATCCAACGGTCCATCGTTGTCCCAGGTGAGCTTCTCCTCCACCTGCTCCTCCTCCCTCTCTTGACTTGGGGGCTTAATGGATGGCCTTCGTTTCAAACAGTTAGAATTAATTGACGTTAATAATGTTCCTCCGATATCAAGATTTATGCTCATCAAATGGCTACTGTGCGCAAAATTCCCTGCAAAACCTGTTCCAGCGGTTCCTCTTTTCATTCAGCCACAAAAATCTATCGGCGTTGACAATTTGTCGGAAAATGGCATTTTCCAAGACTCCAAGTCTTTTGCTGCTTAGAATGTTTATAACCCTGAGCGGTGCTAATGATGATTTCCTAGCATTATGTTTCAGCAAGAGTTTGTTTGTGGAGGATTTACCTCAATTCACCTGCAATTTGCTCAATGACAACCAATAAATATTCAATTTAATGAAATTGCATTTACATTCGCAAATCGCAAAAGCCACTTGAACCACTTTCGCCCACTCAACTTTGATTGCAAAACTGCACCCACTGTCGTCTACATCTACATCTTTCTCTTATTTAGGCTTTCATCGACCGAGAAAGCCATTAACTTGGCCATCCATAATTTTTTAATTTACAAAACTCTTGCCAGTGAATGTCTTCTTTTCCTTTGCCAACTGAGTGGGTCGTGAGTGAGTGTCTTGACTTGACTTGACTTGATTTAAATAACCCAAAGACATCGTTTATCTTGGATATTACATTTCAAATCACAGCAACTTTATTGGTAGGAAAATCTTAAATAATATTTTTGTACCTGCATAAATTCAACCTACAAGTGTGTCATTTGCTACTCCTGGGCAGCTTTTCTAGCTCCTGCATTTAACCAGCATCTGTTGGGATTCAGTGAAATACAGTGAACAAAAATGCTAATTAAAATACAAACTAAGGAACACAAATATTAGAATTATATACATTAAGCCTCCCTTTAATATCCAGTCAAGTTTATTGTAAATTCTATTATATTTATTTAAATTTATTTAACTAATATCTTTATGCTTTTTCTCACTGCTGTCATTTAAGCTGCATTTTACTTCTAAAGGCTCTACTTTTTGCCTCTCCTGGGGGCTTTTGAGTTGGTTCCTCTGGCCAAACTCCTGCGGGCTTCTTTCTGTTCTTTCAGGCTACTCCAAGTCTCACATCCTTATGCATTTTTAAACAATCGCTAACCCAAATAAAGTTTCTTGCTTTCTGCTTTCTGCTTTCATATTTACGGTTTCTCCCAGGAGCCAAGCAAAGAAAAGCGAAATAAAAAAGCAGAGCACACCATCAGG